TGACCCATTTTGAATTCAAAATGGCGAATTTCACAGACAGGTGACAAGTTTGCATCCCTGGTACCGAAACTTGTCAAGCAGTGACGCTGGTGATGTGCGCGTCTTTCCCAGTACCACCTATTCTATTGCAGCCTCTATTAAGACCTGCTAAACACTACATAATATGCTGCTGCAAAGTGCAACACTAGCTAACCTGTTTCCCAGTAACCATATTAGTAATTGGACTATTGCCTATTATTCATCTTGCAAATTATATATATATATATATAGATATAATATATTCCAGGTCATGGCCAAAAGTTTTAACAGTGACATAAATGTTGTGTTTTGCAAAGTTTGCTGCTTGCTGTCGGGGGCCCCTTCAAAATGCGGGGCCCCAGGCAATTGCCTGCCTTGCCTGCCCTATATCTACGCCTCTGGTACTGGGGGTACTTCATGGAGAGGTTTGAGAACCACTGGTTTATGGCTACTGCTGTCTTCGGGTGTATACCCCTAGTGGCTAACGGTGGTATCACAAGTTATATATATATATAGATATAATATATTCCAGGTCATGGCCAAAAGTTTTAACAGTGACATAAATGTTGTGTTTTGCAAAGTTTGCTGCTTAAAGGGTCATATGACGTTGCTAAAAAGAACATTATGTTGTGTATTTGGTGTAATGCAATGTGTTTATGTGGTTTAAGGTAAAAAAAAACACATTATTTTCCACATACTGTACATTATTGTTTCTCCTCTATGCCCCGCCTTTCTGAAACGCGTCGATTTTTACAAAGCTCATCGTTCTGAAAAGCGAGGTGTGCTCTGATTGGCCAGCTATCCAGTGCGTTGTGATTGGCCGAATACCTCAAGTGTGTGATGGAAATGTTATGCCCCTTAACAGACTGTGATGCCGTCTCCCGGCACGGCGAGACAAAACCAATAAAACCCATTACAAACGAGGCATTTGTTGCATCCAGTGGGGACATAATTACTGATTATAATGACTTAAACTGTGTTTTTACGCATTGCGTATCGCGCTGCATAAACATAAAACCATGTCTGCATTTGTGATCGGAGAAACGACAAACAACAAGCGCTTCTCACGTTTCAAGTTTTTCTATTCAATTCAAGTTTATTTGTATAGCGCTTTTCACGATACAAATTGTTGCAAAGCAACTTTACAGCAAATTAAGTTTCAACAAAATTTAGTGGTAGCTTATCAGTGGTGACTGTCAGTTTATGTTCATATGGCAGAAATGTACGGGAAAATCAATTAAAGACGTAATCAAACAGACGATGAACACTATTAACAGCAATTATTATATGATGCAATCAAACTTATAGCAAAATTTGAGCCAAATGCGAAAAAGCTCTACCTCCTTTAGTGGACTTCCTAGGTACTACCAAAAGTCCAAAGTGTTGTGACCTTAGGGAGCCTGATGGATTGTAGCATGGTAGAAGACTAGTTAGGTAAGCAGGAGCTAACCCATTAAGGGCCTTATAGGCAAGTAATAATATTTTGTATCTGATACGGAACTTAATAGGTAGTCAGTGCAGAGACTGTAAAATTGGGGTAATATGATCATATTTTCTTGACCTGGTAAGGGCGTTTGAATCATCAGTGGCAAATTCTTTAAATATAAAAAATGTACTTACAGGCTGTGAGTCAGAAGCTCCAGACTGTCCTTGCAAAGTTGGAACTGCCCCACTTTATAAAACAGCCTTTGAGCACAGACCCATTGTATGCTACTCTGCAGGTTCAGGAAACAGTCTTCCATAAAATGCGTCACACAGCGTCACACACGGCGGGCTTGCGTGAGCGGAGGCCGGCAGCCTTGAGTGAGAGGCGGCCGGAGGGCTTGAGAACGGCGCGGCCGGCGGGCTTGCGGCAACCACATGTGACGACCCCGGGCTGGACTCCGCTTCATCCACGGTGAAAGCCAATCCGGCGATCCACAGCGCGAAGTTGATGTATTTCCTCAGCGACCAGCATGGATCAGCTCCAGGCATGACGAAGCGATATCGTCCTCTTTTGGAAGGCCAAACAAAGTAGTTTCGCTTTCACAACTAAACACACAACATCTCCACAAATGGCAATACTACAGCGAGAATAAAAGTTACTCCTTCTTTCTTTGCGTGAACATTTGGTCGGTGTTATGCAAATCTTCCCACACAGTGACATAGACATGTGGGGGCGTGTTAGAACGAGCCGTTTTAGGAGGGCGTGGACAAGTCTTAAATTTGATAAAGAATGTCTCTTTGGATTTGAGACTTTAGTATTTGCAACTTTACAGATCTTCTTTATGCACCAAGAGCTTGTAACACTCCAAAGAGAAAGGAAAAATTGTAATCGCATCATATGACCCCTTTAAGCTGTTGTGGTGTTCATTCACATTGTTTCTAGATTATTGTGTAGAGTGATCAGATGCATTTTAAATAATTGCTAAAAGCTTCATTGGCTAAAAAAATTTACTTTTCACAAAAAAACTAATTTCAACTAGAGAATCGTGTCACCAGCAGTGCAGAGCTTGCTCAGGAACGGCAGCAGGCTGGTGTGAGAGCATCTGCACGCACAGTGAGGCCAACGTGTCAAGAAGGGCAGCAAAGAAGCCACTTCTCTCCAAAAAAAACATCAAGGACAGACTGAAATTCTGCAGGAAGTACAAGGATTGGACAGCAGAAGATTGGTGCAAAGTTATTTTCTCTGATGAAGCTCCCTTCCGACTGTAGACATCTGGAAAATTGATTGTTCAGAGAAGAAAAGGTGAAAGCTACGAGCAGAAGCCCACAAATTGTGATCAACTCTGAGAACTAATAAGGCAAGAATGGATCGCCATCAGTCAGGATTTGGCCCAGAAGCTAATATCCAGCATGCCAGAGCGAATTGCAAAGGTTATGAATGAAAAGGGTCTCTGTAAATATTGACTCATATTTTTTTTGGCAATAAAAGCCTATAAAAACTTATGTTTATCATTGTTTTTCAGTATACCACAGAAACATGTGGAAAAATAATCTACAAATACTGAAGTGGCAAACTTTGCAAAACAATTTACACTGCCAAAACTTTTGGCCATGACTGTGTGTGTGTATCTATATCTCTATCTATCTATCTATCTATCTATATAAACTGGAGAAAACGTAATTTTGGGAAAACAGGCTGTGGTAGAATAGAACAGAGTTCAATATTTAATTTGCATGGTGGAAACATTCATCTTGCGTCCTATCATCTTTATCAGGCATCATTAGCTTATAGTTAACACTTAGTTATCTTACATCACCTCTGTTCAAAAACTCATAATGTTGTCGTAATGGTGTAATTTAGATAAAAGCTCTCTCTATGTGGTTTAAATATTTACCAGAGAAACCGTGAGGTGGAATGGAAGCCAGTGCCCCCAACCCCCTGTCTATCACATTCTCAGAAACTTAAAAAAATTATTCTAATCAAAGTAGTATTAGATGAAAATGTCATATTTGTTTTATTGAACACATTTTGAAGATTTTTATTGAACACATTTTCCCATTTTAAAAGATTTTCCTTAAATTAAATTGCTCCCACCTCTCTCAGTGTTAACATAAGGGGCATGATTGCCTCAATCCATCAAAACCAGCTGCAGAAAGCAATGCCAGCTTAAAACAGTATTTACCAGTTACTAGGAACCAGGAGTGGACATGATTGCGACTACATAATCTTTAAATATCAATGCAATCCTTTACCTGCCAAACAGGTGTTTACTTGTCCTTTTGCCTTTGCTCACTGTTTTCTCTCGGTCTTTTTATTTTTAACATGTAATAATATAATATCCAGAAATAACACACACACACACACACACACATGTGTGGTTTGCTATCCTTGTGGGGACTTTCCATAGGTGTAATGGTTTTTCTACGGTACAGACCATATATTCTATTGCCCTACACCAACCCTACACCTAAACCTACCCCTTACAGGAAACTTTCTACATTTTTAGATTTTCAAAAAACTTAATTCTGTGTGATTTATTAGCTTGTTTATCTGTGGGGACCTCAATTTAGGTTCCCACTGTGACACGAGTCCCCATGAGTCTGTGTGTATTCAGGTTTAAGTCCCCACCAGAATAGAAAAACAGGTACACACACACACACACACATATATATATATATATATATATATATAGTAGATAAAATAATTAAAATAATCAGCTGAAGTTTTACCATCATGCTACATATACATGTTGTCAGACATGAGTCCCCATGAGTCTGTGTGTATTCAGGTTTAAGTCCCCACCAGAATAGAAAAACAGGTACACACACACACATATATATATATATATAGTAGATAAAATAATTTAAATAATCAGCTGAAGTTTTACCATCATGCTACATATACATGTTGTCAATTTTATAAATTTTTCTCTTTTTATTTCTTTACTTTTATTTTCTTCACTTATTTTCACCATTCCTCCAGTCGTGGGGAGGGGGGAGCTTATTTAGAGTTGTCTGACATCAAATTGGCATTTCCAGATGATTTGTTGAGTTGTGAAACTATTTCCCACTCTTGAGAGGGCTTTGATTACAGTGTGCGTGTGCGTGTGTGTGTGTGTGTGTGTGTAAAAATATGCATGTGCTTGATATATTCTGTATATCACCATAGTATTCTGGCAAGTCAAATGCATTTGACAAAATGCAGTGCAGATTGCAGATGTACCATCTTTACATTGACTCTTTGCTGCAACGCTTACATTTACCTTTTATACAAAACAAGTCACATTAACCCTTAATAATCTACTCTCTTGTACGCTTATCAAATGTTAAACTTGTTTATCTTTCACTTGTGCACCATGTTCACTTACTTGTTTTCTCTCAGCCAGGTCCAGGCCCACTATCATCCCCGAAGGACCCCAGGTCACAGTACCACTGAACAGTGACTTCAGCTTGCGTTGCCAGAGTGACAGTTCAGTGCGCTGGCTGCGAGAAGACCGTCCCACACGGATCCTTAAGGCACAAAGACAGGGTCAAGTGACAGTTCTTAAAGTGAACAAAGCAGGCCCACAACACATGGGCAAATATTCATGCCGTGAGGAGGCATCTGGTGAAAAGAGCTCCATCTATGTGTATGTAAAAGGTAAGTCAGTCTTTTGCATTCGTGAGTCAGGATTTTAAATGAGTGTAATAAATTGTCTGGGTGGAATGACATGTCTGTAGGGCAGTATTTAAAGCATTCTTGAACCCTCCTTTGTGTCTTAGTGTATATCTTGTATGCATGTGAGTGCAGCTTCAGTATATTTTATGTGTTAGGTCTGTACAAGCTTGGTAGCAACAGTATACTAGTAGTAGAGATACTAGATAGAAAGTATGTCTGCACCATTACATGTGCACTTTCTAACACTTTTCATGCTTTATGTTTATGTCTTTCTCTCTCTCTCCTTCTCTCTTTGAACACACTCTCCAGCATCTCTCATCTTCCTGTGTGGTTTCCATTTTTTTTTGTTTTTTTTTGTTGTTTTTTTGCCAAAAAGACACTTTGGGTGCCAACAGATGCCCTAAATACCCACAATCAGCTCTCTGTATTCACTAGTCACCTGCATGACCGTTATTTATACATCTGTGTTATGTGTTTTTGCAAGCATGTTCTTATAATCCCAAATAATAAACTCTTCAAATTGATCCTTGGCATTTTTGGCAGTTGACACTAATTTTACTAATGTGAACACTGCAGGTGTGGGTTATTTGTTTTTGTTTATTAGGTATGATGGAGAGTAGTTTTTCACTTTCAGTCTTTTTGTGACACTCACTCTCTTTCTCTGAGCTGTAATGTCATGATCTAAGCCCCCTTGGTTGTGTTTCATTGGTTTTTGATTTAGCATTCCTCTCAGCAGATCCTGAAAATCCCTTCAGGAGGAACATCATGTTTGACTTTGTTGCGGGAGAAGGAGAAACAGCCACGATCCCATGCTTGGCCACAGACCCACATATGACAGACTTGCACCTGCAAAAATGTGACGGACAGTCCCTGCCCAACAGCCTACGATATTCATCCAGTATTGAGACAGGCATAACGCTGGAAGATGTCAGGAAGGACTTCAAGGGTTGTTACGTCTGTGTCGGGACTCTGGAAGGCAACACAGTTAAATCCGGACAATATCAACTCAATGTTCGCCTCGGTGAGAAAAAAAAAGGAAAGACATGAATATTAGGGCTGTCAATTGAAAAAAAAGCAACACAACTGTTTTCAATATGATGTGTCGGGACTCTGGAAGGCAACACAGTTAAATCCGGACAATATCAACTCAATGTTCGCCTCGGTGAGAAAAAAAAGGAAAGACATGAATATTACGGCTGTCAATTGAAAAAAAAGCAACACAACTGTTTTCAGTATGAATAATTATAAGAAATATTTCATGAGCAGCAAATCAGCATATTAGAATGATTTCTGAAGGATCATGTGACACTGAAGACTGGAGTAATGATCGCTAAAAATTCAACTTTGCCATCACAGAAATAAATTATATATTTTTAAAATATATTAAAGAAATAGTTCACCCAAAAATTAAAATCAAGCCATCTTAGGTGTATATGACTTTCTTCTTTCAGACGATTCCAATCAGAGTTACATTTAAAAATGTCCTGGCTCTTCCAAGCTTTATAATGGCAGTGAGTGGGTGTTATTTTTCAATAGTCCAAAAGAAGTCCAATAAAGCGCATCCAGCAATTATAAAAAGTGCCCTACATGACTCCCTGAATAAATGCCTCCTGAAGCAAAATCGATGCGTTTTTGTAAGATAAAATATCCATATTTTAAACTTTATAAACAGTAATCTCTAGCTTCCGCTAACTGTTGTACATGCGTTCACAATAGAATGCTGTTCTGGTGGATGACATAGGACGTAGGCGTAACGTAAGGTCAGGTGAGAATATGCTAGTCTCGTGAGAACCAACGTTTGTTTACAGATGCAAAGGAAGCAAAGTTTCCTTAATTTAGCAAAGGAAAACCAGTCTCCTCTTGGCTTATATCGAAATCCTCTGACATTTTTCTTTACAAATCTTCGTTTTGTACTTCTAATTCGTAAACAGTTTTTGTTTTGCTCTTTCCGCTGCGCTTCCACATTCATCACTTCTCACCAGACCTTACGCTACGTCCTATGTCATCCTCCGGAACACGTATTGAACGCGTATACAACAGTTAGTGGAAGCTAGAGATTACTGTTTATAAAGTTCTAAATATGGATATTATTCTTACAACAACGCATTGATTCACTTTAGGACACTTCTTATGATGGATGGATGCGCTTTATTTGATGTCTTTTGGACTATTGAAAAATAACACCCATTCACTGCCATTATAAAGCTTGGAAGAGCCAGGACATTTTTTAATATAACTCCGATTGGATTCGTCTGAAAGAAGAAAGTCATATACACCTAGGATGGCTTGAGGGTAAATAGAAAACAGTTATTTTAAATTGTAATCATATTTTATAATATTACTCTTTTTACTGTATTTTTGATCAAATAAATGCAGTCTTTGTGAGCATAAAACATTTCTTCCAAAACATTACGTAATTTTACCATCCCCAAATTTTTTAATGGTAGTATGTAGACTTCTAAAGCCACTTTTAGTAATGTTTTTATTTTGAGGTATTTCAAATATTGATGTTTGCAATTCATTGAGATAAATCCGATTAAATAATCGCCATATCATGTAATTCATTTGATTAAAAAAAAAGTTCATCAGTTGCCACCCCTAAATATAGCTAGAGGACACAGACAGACACTAGGCACATGCATGTCCACGTTACCCCACTGTAGCTTGCTCTCTTTCCCACACTTTCCCGCTGCGTTGATATAATGCATCATGCTTCTTTGCTTTTAGTTCCAGACATGCCTCCTGTGATCACACTGGGTCAGCCTCCGAGAGTGCTGCTCATCCAGGGGGAAGAACTCTCCCTATCCTGCAACACCTCAAATGTCAACAGCGACATCACAGTCAGGTGGAAGGCTCCACAAGGAGTGGTAAGAACACTCTCACAACCTAACCTGCTCTCACCTGTTTACCTGAGCACATCTGTGGTACTGCATGACACTCTTCCTGACCACAACACACGCATATATATATACATACTGCAGACTTTATTAAACACTGCAACAGTTTCAAGCGAGTGAAACCAATGTTTACAAAAGCAGACTATAGAGTGAGTGCACATCCCAGTTATCCTACTTAATGTGGTAATGTGTACCCATGAACAATTTAGTTTTTGTAGACTGAGAATGAGAATTGAAATCTTGTTTGAACTTGATATTATGCCCAGAGGCAAATTGGATCTTGTGTGGTTTAAGGTGCTCCTCAAATTCTATATGATCATATATTTACACAGCAGACGAATATGGTTGTCAGCAGGGTTGTGTGTCATTCAGATGTGAATTGAGAATGCCTTTTAAATTCCAGTTAAAGTTTTGAATTTTGAATTAAGCTTGAAATTGAGGAAGCAAACAGGATGCAGAATTGCAAAGTGTAGTTGTATAATTAATTTAAAATTATAATTAAAATAAATAAAAATTAATTTAGGAAAAAGAAAGAAAGAAAGAGATAGCTAGAGAGTCAGATAGACATACAGATGGATGGATAGATAGACTGACAGACAGATGGAAAGAGATGTAAACAGACAGATAGAAAGACAGACAGATAGTCTAGAGAGTCAAACAGATAGTCTGATAGACAGATGGATTGCTAGATAGATGGCTAGACAGCTAGCTAGCTAGATAACTACTGTAGGTAGATGATAGATTCCCTTGAATGCATTACATTTGTTATATTTTTTTGAACTTCCTGTCATTACAATTCAATTCTAGTTTAGTTTTACTCGCAATTCTTCTGTTCTGTATTTATCTCAATCTTGATTGTCAGTTCTGTTTTAAAGCACTATATATGGTTGTGTTCAAACACAGTTCAGTTTTTAACGCGTGAACCGAATTTTGTATCTAAACTCACTCCCTTAAATTTTCAGCACTCACAACTGTATTATTGTCAAACGTGTGCTGTGAGAACAACATAAGTAAACAGCTCTTCAGTATTGTATCGAGACTCCACTGCCATCAGAGACTGTTATTTGAGAGATGAATGACATGCTTTGTTTTATATAAAGATAAAAACAGCCACACCTACACATACAGACAACCACAAGCACTTTACCCAAGACAGGGTCTATGCTTCATCTCTTCATAGTTGCCCAATCAGCTTTGTGTCTCTTTTCCTTTTGCATGTGCCAAGCAACCGTCAGTGCAGCGGTTCTCAAGTATCCTGACCGAGCCCATTTCTCACCTGAGGAACGCCACCCTGAATCTGGGGTCTGTGACCATGCAGGATGCAGGGATTTACAACTGCGAGGCCAGGAACGAAAGGGGGACCAGTGCAAAGGCGGTCTTGGTTGAAATCTATGGTAGGTCTCTGTTGTTTCAAAAACATTTTCAATTTAAAAAAAATAATCATATGACTGTTTATTAAGTCTCAATGGCTGTGCCGTTTCAAAGAATAAATTGATGTTTTATGTGTTTGTGTGTGTAGAGAAAAGCTTCATTAACCTAACAAGTGTGAATAACTGCACTAAGAGAGTGCGGGCTGGAGAAAGTCTGTCCCTGCGTGTGGTAATGGATGCTTACCCGAAACCTCATCCATTTTCCTGGAGCTACAGTGGTGTAAAACTTACCAACACTACTGATCATGTCATTACCAGTCACTCACATGGGAATAGGTATGATTTTGATTACAAACATTTCATGTTTTTTTCTACGTAGTAATTGCTAGGAATGTACAATATTGTGGTATCATATTGGTTATTGGTTATATTAAAATATATATATATATATATTTTTTTTTATTGGAAATATGTTTTGATGTTGTATTACTTGTGCTGCTCATTTACTGTTTTTATATTCAGATTACCTTTGCCGTCATGTAATGCTCACTTAAAGTTAATATTTAAAAACACTAATAATTTAAAAACATTGTTAAATGTAAACTTTAGCAAATCTCTCAATATCCAATTTTTTTATACATGATAAAAAAATTATGTTGTGAAGCCTAAATTCACTTGTGGCATTTGAATTGTGGCATTTTGTTTTTAGTATGGTCTTTTTTTATAATTCTTTTAGAGAAAATACTATAGAATTTTCAGTTTTATCAGAATTTTAATATCAGTGCAAGCTCGCCATTTATTTACTGAACTGAAAGATACTGAAAGATAGGTTATTCATGTTTCTTTCTCTTCTTTCAACAGGTACACCAGCGAGCTGAAGCTAGTGCGTCTCAAGGTGTTGGAAAGTGGCGTTTACACCTTTTCATGCTCAAACCGAGACGCAACAGTTCATCAAATGTTCGAAGTCCATGTCATAAGTGAGTGAAAACATTTAATGCAAATGACAAATATTTGACTTTTCCACTCCCCAGAAAAGAGTATAAAATCTATGTGATCTATGAGTTTTGTGTGTATTTTGGTTCAGAAGTGATCAGTCATATTTCTTGAGCATTGTGCTGGATAAAAGAACTTGATTGTCTATGTAAGACCCTGGCTTAAAGTCCACTAACAATAGTTGAGGCTGTGCAAAAACAGATAAGAAAGCCCTGGGCTTCAAGACTTCAAATAAGACATTTGTCAAGTCATTTTCTTTTCTGTGAGATTTATTGATCACCAGTTATAAATAGATTTATCCCTCAAACAGGTTTTACTTTCTGCCCACATTTTAAATGGCAAAAATGTTCAAAATCTGACTTTTTAATGCCACTTAAGCCATATTTTAAAATAATAACAGTATGCAAAGTAATCACAAATAAGACAGCTGTACAAGCATCCATCCCACTAACCAAGATTGTAAAACTGACCCAGAACCATTCTTTGACTGTTAGGTAAACCACAGATTGTGTCCCATGAAGGGCCGATTGATGGACAGGTGCGCTGTGTGGCTGAAGGTTACCCCACTCCTCAGATCAAGTGGTATTACTGTGACCAACCCCATTCAAGGTACGTGTACTGTCTTTCTGCAGTTTTGTAATTTTTAAATACACCCAGGGTACATACCATGGGCTCTAAAAGTTGCTTTCAAAAACTAGCGGCACCTCTCTTGAGCAGTGTTAACGTATTAGCCTCTCTGAGGATACGTTGTGAGGTAGTGTGGATTAGCCACTAACCGCTAACTTGATGTTTGATGATTGGACAACAAGGCTTTAGCCTATTATTGATAGGGATAAGCAATTTGACTCTGTCATGACTGTGACATCACAAAAGCGATTGGCTGCTATCAGTCATGTGACAGCACCCAACAACATGGGAACAAGTGGCTTCCATTGGGCTGTTTATTCTCGAATAGCAGTGTTGACAGAACACCTTAGCATGCATGGTCTTAGTCACAAGCTTATCCAATCAATTCTTCATGATGATCAAATCTAATCTGGATAGCATGCCCTGCTTCAATTTGAGCATATAAACATGTAGTGCAGTGTGTCTTTTGATCTTGTTTGTGCGTTGGTGTCTGTCACCAGTTTGATAGTTTTCTCACTGAACAGACATTCCATTGTTGAGAAACTGTTGAGTTTTCACCATGCTAAACAATGTCATTAACGATATCGCTCAGTAACAAAGAGACGGATCAAGGAATGTAAACCAGTTAAGGTTTATTTGTTCTGGCTTTATATCCAAAGCTAACTTTTAACTCAACTCAATTGCACAAAAAAAAAAAAATTGGAGAAACAAATAAATCAAAGCACTTGATGGCAGTACATTCCACTCTGATGTTTTTAAATAAAAGAGCCCTTGAGGTCTGTCACTTTGCTGCCTGTTATTTTGCTTTCTTAAGCAATAAGCTATTTTCACACACATCAGTAAAAACCTGCCATAGCCACTGAATGCGGAGAGAGATGCTTATCACATCCTTATCGTATTATGTGTCTTGATATGCATTGGTTCTTAACATTTGATCTTAAGGTCTACATGAAATCAAAAATATCCTCACACATTCCAGCCTTATCATAAAAAGTTAATTGGTGCATTTTATGCCAAAGAAAAAATTTTATGCTTCATAATCTTTCATCAAAATGTAGTAACCTGCTGTTCCTGTGACATAAAATGGGATACAATAGGAGATAAATGCTAATGTATAATATAAAAAAACTTTAATAAAATAATAATAAATAATATGAAAATAACACTGCTTTTAAGGCTATGAATTTATATATATATATATATGTGTGTGTGTGTGTGTACTTTGCCTTTGTTTTGCACATTGATACAATTTTTGTATTTTGATGCATTTTTTATTTATTTATTTATTTATTTTTACATAGTTCCTTTTATGCAGTGTTTCTAGAATGGTTCACCACCATAAGTACATGTTCATGAGAAGTGCGAGACTAAGAATTTATGAGTTTGTTGCATGCCTCCTCAGGTGCTCCAATTTGCTGAATGCCACTCAAGAGGAGGAGGATGTTGTCACTGTAACCATGACAAATCCTCCTTTTGGGAAAGGCACAGTAGAAAGTCGTCTAAACATCACCAAGAACAGTTACTCCACCCTTGAATGCGTGGCATCTGCCAATGGAGAAATCGTGTACACTCTCTTCTCTATCAGCGGTGAGCAAATAACCTCCCAAATCACACGCACACACACACATTACACACCCCTTCAGACAATGACTGAAGACTCTAGTTAGTAATTACTAAGTCTCAGCCTCAGACAACTCCACCCACAAACTGCCTACAGTCTGTTTGCTGACCCTGTGATCCATATTTCTCACAAAACTGGAAAGCACTTTTGTCATCTGCAGGCTATAATATGATTGGCTGACTTCATGCAACTTCTGAAAGCAAGGGCACGCAGGTGTTTTTTACTTGAATATATCTGAGATTTGGTTTAGTTGAGAGGTTTATGAATTCAGACACTGTCTCCTTGTTGTTCATTTGCATACACAGGGCATCAAATCAATACTGCCCCAGTGTACAGGCTGTGCTCATTTGTCACAGGTCTGGGTGTGTATCTTTGTTTTGTTGTCCTAATAGTAAAATATTATGTTAATTTTGTTGGCTTGTATGTTTTGGGGTTTTCTTCCATTGTTGACTCTGAGGGTGTGTCTCAATCCTCAAAGTAGCCAGTGCACTGGCCAGGGAATTGTAGCTGTGCACTGAAACACTCACAGAAGACATTATAAAAATAAAAGAATGCCAGCTGCTTAATATATGCACTTACTGGAAATGCTCTTTCAACGCTCAAAGTAATAAAACGTCCTTGTGACGAGTGGGGCGGGGCCCGAGAGCCGTGGGAACAGAGCGAGGCCGGTGACGCGAGTGATAATGAGCATCACCTGTGCGCCACTCCAGTCTCGAGTTCCACTAAGGAGCTCCGGAAGGATAATAGGAGGAGTGACGAGGGAGGGGCCTGACCGGACTGGGCCTAAACTTGTATTTTGTTTATGTTTGTGTGGCAGTCGTCCGTGAGGGGCTGCCACCTTTACTTTCCGTTTTGTGTTTGTTTATTTGATAATTAAAGTTTTTGAATGTTTGCCTGTTCCCACCTCCTTCTTCCCATAACTACGAACTGCATTACAGTCCTATTTTCTGTTTTTAAAAAAGATTGTTTCATTTCTAATCAAAGTGGAGCAACAGTTTTGCACTGAGTTTTGCAGTGACATGCTAATATTTACATTATGGGCATTTCATGTATTAGAACAAATGCAATAATATCTGCCATTATATAGATAGACTAACATTTAAAAGTATTGGGTCAGTAAGATTTTTTTTATTTTTTATTAATTGGTACGTTTATTAAGCAAGAACGCATTAAATTGATCAAAAGTGAGAGTAAAGACATTTTTAATGTTACATAAACTTCTATTTCAAATAAATGCTGTTCTTTTGAACTTTCTACTCATCAAAGAATCCTGTATGTATCATGTTATCCACTAAAAATTACTAAGCACAACTGTTTTCAACATTGGAAATAAAAATAAATGTTTCTTGAGCAGCAAATCAGCATATTAGAATGATTTCTGAAGGATCATGTGACACTGAAGACTGGAGTAATGATGCTGAAAATTCAGCTTTGCATCAGGAATAAATTACATATAAAATACTTTAAAACAAACAAAAGTTATTTTAAATTATAATGAAATTTTACAGCATTATTGTTTTTACTATACTTTGAACAAATAGTGCTGCCTTGGTGAGACTTTAAAAAAAATTATACTTAAAATGCAGGATATAGTGCAATTTTTGAAATGACACTGTACAGCTACAACAAAGATGAAGAATTTTGACCTCGAGTCAAAATCAGTCAGTTCATCTTATGCACATCATAGAAAACCAGGAAGAGACCTCGACCCAAGTGCTTCTAGTTTCCCAGGAATAGTTAAACAACCAAACAAGAGGAAACATCTCCTCACGTTCTCTCCAGCTGTGCGTTTTCTACTGGCTACATCTTTTTGAGAAAATCTAAACCAGCTGCCAACTTGCAGTTCGCCACTCCTGCTTCAGCTCAACCTATGTAGGCAGACTTTTTGGATAAGACGAGATAACAGCAGACTATTATATAAACAGAGGTGCTGAGTTTTAGCCCTAATCTTGTTTCTTTTGTAAACCTAACATTACCAACTGTTGGGGATTATCTCCCGGGTTTAGGGGGGGTTTAATTTGGTTTGTTGCAAAACACCATCTTTCCACCCCAGTTAATACTGGTATTATTTTTAAGGACAGACTGGTTAACAAAAGGTCAGCCACATCCAGTTTAGTTTGTTTCTGGTACATTCATTTGATCCTCATTGGGTTTTTGGTGCAAGTTGTTGACTACATTGCCTGTTTTTTGCATTTTCTCAACTAAATTAGCCTTAAGTAATAAAAATTCTCCCTGAACGTTGACCTTTCAACCATCAGGAGTTGGACTGGAGGTTTTAAATCCGCTGCATCAGGAAAGCCTGTTAGGTGATGTGGGGACTTGTTTAGATTCTCAAGGTTGACTGCAGTAGGTCCAGGAAAACCAGTGGGACGATGAGCCTTAAGCTAGACTGTTAAAGCTGTTCACTCTCAGCTGAGCGAGATGCAAAAAAATGTCCATTGTTAAGATTTGTTGATTTATGAGGGGCTTGATGGTATGCTTGGATGCAGTGCGATGATAGATGGATGGACGGGGAAGGATGGAGGGCGAGAGAGAGAGACAGAGGGAGGGAGCAGAAGAGGACTGTGAAAGCCAGTGGCAGGTTTACAAGGGATTACTTCCTGCAGAGTTTGCATTCTTTGATTTGAAATGGAGAGAAAGCTTCTTATAGCTTAAGAGCTTACGACACTGCTCGGAACAACGCAGAAAAACAATAACACACAACGCATGAACACATACACACACCTTACAAAAACAACACCGCTACACTTTGAAAATGTGAAAAAAGCGAGTCACAAAAATCTTCAGTAGAGAGTTTGACCTCAATGCATCAGTGAGGATTATTCACACCTCATGAAATACAAGCAATTATGACATAACCCCACTGTTCTTTTATGCTTGTGTATTGTTTTTTAGACATTCTACCAGTGTAAACACTGGTTTTACTTCAATATATATATATATATATATATATATATATATATGCAATTTAATATAATATATTATTAATGTAACTGTATTGTAATAATTGTAATAAAAAATATATAAATGTAATAATATAAGTAATTAATATATTGTGCATCCCTACTTTTAACTCATAATGGATATCTTTTAGCTATTTAGCTTTTAGCTATTGATTTATATTGCATTCAATTTATATTTGAATGCAATATAAATTGCATTCAAATATATTATATTATTAATGCAATTAATATTAATTGAAACAGTACAATTAATGGTAAATTATATCCATTATGATTTAAAAACAGGGATGCACAATATATTGACACCATATCAGTTTTCAGCATTTTTAATATTTCATTTAATATTTAATTATTTTAAGTGTAGTTTTTAATTATTTTTAGCATAGTGTCTGGAATATATTGTTTATTGGCCATAACATGAAAAATAATCATATAGGCCAGAATTTTAATATCAATGTATCCCTAGATCAAAAGGAACACATTTCTTGTTTGCTGTTGTTGAGTACATCCAGTATGTCATGTTCTGCATGTTTCTGATGGCAACTGTATGTTAATTTAATCTTCTCAGAGAACACTGTTCCTCATGAACTTTTCACGCCGTTGCTCATCGGTTTTGTTGCTGCAGCTGTTATCCTTGTTCTCATCCTGATTGTGCTGTCCTACAAGTACATGCAGGTAAAGTGTCATTCATTTCATAGCTTGTCTTCCAGTACAGAAATTGCATGCTGACTCACTGAGCTAATTCATTAATTACACAAAATTGAACTCCTTCCCCTATTATAGCAATAAAAGATTGTAACATGTATTGTTATTCTAGTATGTTATTTGATATTAAACGTGATACTCAACGCAATTGACCTGTCACACCTGGAATCCCTCCCACACTTCAGGGGTACTTTGAAACAATACACACTCAAGGAAATTATTTACTTAACATGTCATAAGACCTGATGTTTCACCATGCAGTTTTGCACTGTTGCACATGGGAGCGATCAGTGATACATACACGCACGCACATGAAATTACTGTTCACATTGTTGTTTGAATAATTTATGTCCGTTTACATGACACTGTTATTAGTGGACTCTGTTTACTTTTTTCTATGAGAGCACATACACTTGCAGTAACTGGATCTAATGTAAAAGGTTGTTTTGTTTGTCTGTAAACTTCGCTCATTGTTTATTTCTGTCTCCTACAGAAACCTAAATACCAAATACAGTGGAAAGTCATAGAAGGTATCCATGGAAATAGCTATGTGTATATTGACCCCACCCAGCTTCCATACGACCACCTGTGGGAGTTTCCCAGAGATAAGCTGCGTTTTGGTGAGTTAAGTTCCTGAATCTGTCTGCTTTGACTTGTCGAACTTCATAAATTATATTCCAAATAATTTTTCCACATTTCTTATGTTTAAACATTAGGTTTGGAAAGGTTTACAAGGTTTAATGCACCAGAAAGCATAAAGGCCTTTTGAATTTTACAAAGCTTGCTTTTTTTCATTGGCAGTTACATGGTTTGTGACACTTGATAACTGGTGCCTTGTGACATAAAATCATATCTTCCCCATAAAGGAACAGCCATATCCGTCAACAAACAGGATCTAACAGGATCTAGCATATCCCGCTTCCCCACAAGCCACACCTCCTTGATTCAAAAGCAAGTCGATGTTCAAGCTAAAAGCTGGTTTCGGATCAGTTTCCAGGCGCATTGACTGACTGTTAACAACTGTATGAGGGAAAAGTGAAATTGATGCGGTGTCAATTTTCTGAATCGGTTTTGCTTCCCTGCATTCCCAGGAAAAACTCTCGGATCTGGAGCATTTGGGAAGGTGGTGGAGGCCACTGCATATGGGATGTCCAAAGCAGACACTGTGATGACCGTAGCTGTGAAGATGCTCAAACGTGAGTGAAAAGCACCAGAAAACATGTTCATAATCTTGTGAAATATGAGTAGCATAGTAACACCATGGCATTTAACTAGCATGTTTATTTAAGCAAATAAGGCAGTGCGTAAAGACATACCAGAAAGTACACAAACCTGCGTGATGTGAAGAAAGGAGGTCAAACATTTTCAGTAACCCACAATTTTTGGTTCCCAGAACATTCTGAGAATCAAACCAAAACATTCGTGTAATGCTTCCAAAGGGGAACCTACACTAAACATTAGGAGACCATTCTGTTTTTTTATGCTTTTATTTGTTGTGGTGTTTTGCCCCACAGCAAGTGCCCATGCCACTGAGAAAGAGGCTCTGATGTCAGAGCTGAAGGTGCTTAGTTATCTTGGCAACCATATTAACATTGTCAACCTGCTAGGGGCCTGCACTATTGGAGGTAAGAGGCTAAAGCTAAATATTGTTTTTCTAGGGTTTTCTGTGTATTGTATTGTTCTTCATTACTGGTCTGGTCTATTGCACAGGTCCAACTCTAGTTATAACGGAGTACTGCTGTTTTGGTGACCTGTTGAACTTCCTGCGCAGAAGGAGAGAATCCTTCTACTACACTACACTGGGAGAAGACTCTTACTATAGAAACGTCATGCTGCAACCAGAACAAAAGTAAGTATGATCAATGCAACTGGTGCAGTGTGATAGTGTGAAGTGCTTGTGGGTTCACCAAAACAAGTTTGTATTTGATTACAGTGAGAGCAGGAATGGATACGTGACCATGAAGCCCTCTGTAATGGGAATTCTGTCCTCAGAAAACCGAAGATCACTTAATAAAGGTTGGATCAATGTCTTGTCTCTTTTCTTGTCTGTTCTCTTGTCATCTCTTATCCTATCATCTTGTCTCTTCTTGTGTCACCCAGTCTTTCTGTCTTCTCTTCTCTTCTCTTCTCTTCTCTTCTCGTCTGCCCTTATTTTTTCCTGTTCTTGTCTTATCTCCTCATCTCACCTTGTCTCATTTTTTCTTATCTTCTCAACTTGTCTTTTCTGTCTCATCTCGTTTCTTTTTGTCTCATTTTGTCTTTCCTGTTCTTGTCTCATCTCTTCTCGTGTCTTATCTTCATCTTCTCATCTTGTCTGTTTTTTTCCGGCTTTGTCGTATCTCTTTTTGTCTCATATTTTCTTGTCTCTTCTTGTCCCCTTCTTGTCTGTTGTCTTCTTCTCGTCTCTTCTCATCTGTTCTGTTATCTCGGCTCAACTCTTCTCATTTTGTCTTCTTTTCTAGTCTTGTCTGCCCTTGTCTTTCCTGTTCTCATCTCTTGTCATGCCTTCTCTTCTTGTCTCTTCTGTCTCACCTCATCTCTATTTGTCTAATCTTGTCTTTCCTGTCCACATCCCATCTTTTCTCATCTCTTCTCATGCCTTCTCTTTTCTCATCTGGTCTCTTCTGTCTCATCTTGTCTGTTGTCTTCTTGTCTCATTTATTCTTTCCCTTTTCTTTTGTTGTCTCTTCTTGTCTGTTGGCTTTTTGTCTCATTTTGTCTTTATCGTCTTCTTAAATGAATTTGTCATCCCTTTAGGTGATTCATACAATGATTCGGATGCCGTTAGTGAGATTCTGCATGAAGATGGCATGACTCTGGATACTGAGGATCTTCTTAGCTTCTCCTACCAAGTAGCCAAAGGGATGGATTTCTTGGCATCCAAAAACGCAAGTGTTTTTCTCATTTGTTTGCGTTCTGTCTCTCTGACAGATACTGAGTTTTATATTCCGAGTGTTTGCGGTAACCCTATACTGCAGATCTTCTCACTCTTCCTCAACAATGCCACAGACTAACATTCCATTACCTCTGTCGAGTCAAGGATCGGGTTACACAAGGTCACACAAACGCATACACTCATTCATTGAGGATCATGCTGAGAAATATCACATTTCCCCACATGGTCAGCAGGTCCAGTATTCAGTTTAGGGGAAGGACACTAGATTAGTCACACTGTTGAGCCGGCGAGTTTTCTGTCAGGGAATTAATTTCAGCACCTCTATGCTAACTTAGAACACTTCTTTGCTAATGAGGTTTTGAATATTGGCACGGTTATTGTAAATACCTGACAGTTTTGACAGTCCTGACACATAAGAGCAATTTTAAGCACAACTTTTCACTCCCCTCTGTGGTCATTTCAGTAATGCCTCTAGGCCACTCATTCCTATGCAGGTTACATGCATACAAGTACAGCTTCTATCTGCTTGAACTGCGAAAGGCCAAAATCTCAAAAGCTGTCAACATTACGTTTCAATTAAATTTTTTAAATGAGCAATACAGTCTGAGCTTCTTTAGCTCACATCACGCTAAAAACAAGTAGTCCATTCCTACAGCGTTTGCTTTAATACATAATATATTAGTGTGTATGTTGACCTGTAGTTCTGCATGTGCAGTGTATTCACAGAGACCTGGCAGCCAGAAACATTCTCCTCACCCAAGGCCGAGTGGCCAAGATCTGTGATTTTGGACTAGCCCGGGACATCACTACTGACTCAAACTATGTTGTTAAGGGCAATGTAAGTATTAACTGTCATTACATGTGACAAACAACTTTAACATTTATTTTATTTGTAGATTTTCCCACCAAGTTTTACAAGTAAATAGACAAGCAAGCATGCTTCTTTAATGCATACTGTGTGTGTTGGATGTGGTTTATTCCAACAGCTTTCTGCAAGGAAATCTCACCTTAATGCAAAA